AATGGCACTAAATTCATACCTTTCAATAGTTACCCTGAATGTAAATGGGCTAAATGCCCCAATCAAAAGACATACGGTATCAGATTGGATAAAAAAAAAAACAAAAAACAAGACCCATCAATATGCTGTCTGCAAGAGACTCATTTTAGACCCAAAGACACCTCCAGATTTAAAGTGAGGGGCTGGAAAACCATTTACCATGCACATCAAAAGAGAGCTAGGGTAGCAATCCATGTATCAGACAAATTATATTTTAAACTGAAGACTGTAATAAGAGATGAGGAAGGACACTATATCCTACTTAAAGGGTCTATCCAACAAGAAGGTCTAACAATTTTAAATATCTATGCCCCTAACATGGGAGCAGCCAGTTATATAAGCCAATTAATGACAAAAGTAAAGAAACACATCGACAATAATACAATAATAGTGGGGGACTTTAACACCCCCCCTCACTGAAATGGACAAACCATCTAAGCAAAAGATCAACAGGGAAATAAAGGCTTTAAATGACACACAGGACCAGATGGACTTCACAGATATATTCAGAACATTCCATCCCAAAGCAACAGAATACACATTCTTCTTGAGTGCACATGGAACATAATCCAGAATAAATCACAACCTGGGTCACAAATCAGGTCTCAACCAGTACCAAAAGACTGGGATCATTCCCGGCATGTTTTAAGACAACAATGCTTTGAAACTAAAACTCAATCACAAGAGGAAAGTTGTAAAGAACTCAAATACATGGAGGCTAAAGAGCATCCTACTAAAGAATGAGTGGGTCAACCAGGAAATCAAAGAAGAATTTTAAAAATTCATGAAAACAAATGAAAATGAAAACACAACTGTTCAAAACCTTTGGGATGCAGCAAAGGTGGTCCTAAGAGGAAAGTATATAGCAATAGAAGCCTTTCTCAAGAAACAAGAAAGGTCTCAAATACACAATCTAATCCTACACCTAAAGGAGCTGGAGAAAGAACAGCAAATAAAGCCTAAAGCCAGCAGAAGAAGAAAAATAATAAAGATCAGAACAGAAATCAATGAAATAGAAACCAAAAGAACAGTAGAACAGATCAATGACACTAGGAGCTGTTTCTTTGAAAGAATTAATAAGATTGATAAACCCCTGGCAGACTTATTTATTTATTAAGTCATGAATGAAAGAGGAGAGATCACAACCAACACCAAAGAAATACAAACAATTATAAGAACATATTATGAGCGACTATATGCCAACCGATTAGACAATCTGGAAGAAATCGATGCATTCTTAAAGATGTATAAACTACCAAAACTGAACCAGGAAGATACAGAAAACCTAAACAGACCCATAACCAGTAAGGAAATTGAAGCGGTAATCAAAAATCTCCCAACAAACAAGAGCCCAGGACCAGATGGCTTCCCAGGGGAATTCTACCAAACATTTAAAGAAGAATTAATACCTATTCTTCTGAAATTCTCCCAAAAAATAGAAATGGAAGGCAACTTCCAAACTTATTTTATGAGGCCAGCAATACCTTGATCCCCAAACCAGACAAAGACCCCATCAAAAAGGAGAATTACAGACCAATATCC